GCTCACACCCTGCTATCTTGGGGATTAATGACTTGAAATTTGTATCCTAGTATTATTAGCTCGGGACCATCTCCCATAATCAGTTTTCAGCCTGGTAGCACTCCCCTGGAACTTGATAGCGATTTTGAGTGAACAATGTTTACAAGCTTAGTCACAACCACTGGATTTTGTCACGTCAGAGAATTGCCCATAAAGAGCCAAAGTTTCAAAAGGGTTGCTTCCTTGCAGAGCCTCGGGATTCAGCTTAAATCACTGTTGTACCTTCAGTCTATAATGTGCGTATGTGGGGGAGTCCTCTAGCGTTGCAGCTATTCAAAGAAAAGCTTGCAGGTACAGTTCAGTTCTGGGTGAGAGCAGTGGCCATTTGCACTGAGATTGCTGTGGGTAGCTCTCAGTCTCAGATTGTATGTAGATTCATGCTTTCAGTGTCAGAGCTGATCTTGCTAAATTCTGAAGAACAAGGGTATTTGTAATAGCCAGTTGCAAACAGTGAAATCCCAGGAGTATTTTCCATCTGGTGGATGCTCTGCCTGCCTATTAAAGGGGCAAAGTAGATATTTCATTTATCCTTGACAAAACGTAAAATTGGCCAGCTTTACAGTGTTAAAAATTTAAACAGAACATAATTGGCTATAAATTTATGGCAGTGCATAGCAGAAACGCATGAAATGGCTGTATATTTTGAGCTCACTTATTATCCTTTCACCAGAGGTCTGTTCCCTTAGCAGAAATTTATTTAATACAAGGTAACAATGACAGTATTAAGATGAAAGGCTGACTGGAAAGCAATAATGGAAAGAATAGTTTTTCCCGTTGTAGGTTATTCTGATCAGTCCATCCAATTTACTAGTGAACAGAGTCCTAATCCTATTAATTCCATGTTTTGTTAAGTTTGCCCTAAAAGTAGTTCTTTGTATACAGAGTTTGGTGGTCTCCCAGAATACTGCATCTCAATAACCTTTGTACCTCCTTTATCACATATCAGAGAAATCAAGGATTAAACGACTAACATCACAGGGACTGACCTAGATCTATGCTGTAGGATGAGGCAAGCTGCCAGGTGTGGGAAGGGACTGACCCCCTTCTCCCACCGTGTGGATAAATCCAGACGGGACATCATGCAAGCAAATCTGTAGCTGTTGACAGTTACACTAGAAAATCCAACCTGTTCCTCTGAATTCAGGTTAGAGAGCTGGTCTTCTCCAGTGGATACAATAGTTCAGCTATGGTTCATGTCCGCATTCAAAAGCCATATTTTACCGACTTCTTTACCTTACCTACAAGTGAATTGGTAGATGGAGTTTTAGTCCTCTGCTTGCAAGGCTTTACTGCATATTTGATTAAGCCCCCCCCCCCTTTTACCTGGGAGCAATAGCTGTTACAATGCAAGACTGGAATTTTGGCTTCTCCTAGTGGATTAGGGAATGCATCTGTAAGAGACCCAAGCTTTTTCTATGAAAACAGTCAGCCCCTTCTCAGCTGGTGAGCCTGGAAAAGGGATGGAAACTGCCTCAGCTAGATAGTAAATCCATTTGTTTTAGATCAACAGCATTCCCCTGGGATACCCACATAAAGTACTTTTTCTCTTTTAAAAAGCACCGTCTTTGCTACCGCTCAGTAGTCTGGGGGGAACCACAGTAAAAAACAGGTCTCCGTAGAAATGTAACTGCTCGAGGAGAACAAGCAGAATTCCACGGTATTAGGAGCCACTCTCAGTCCCTAACTTTCCATCCTTATACAGAGACCTGGAATAAAAGTCAACCCTATTAAGGTCTGGCAGAATTCCAGTCATCTTCAGAGAGCTAGCATCTCATCCAGAACCATTTACATTTTCTTTTTTGAAATGATGAACGCTTTTCCTTCCTCATATAACTAGCTAGCTTTTCTGTGCAGCCAAATCAAAGGGCCTGAGCCAAAATCCTGTATCTAAGTAAATTCATTTCAAGTGTTTCTAAGCTTGAACAATTTGGGTCTGATTGAGTCAAAAATAACAGGTCATTGCAGTCAGATCAAAACACTGGAGATGAAGGAGTTTTGTTACGCAGCAAAGTTTGGAAGATTCTCATGAATGGTCCTGGTTTTGGTGCAGGTATAAAGAGTACTGGCAACTTGCAGTTAGCCTTAGAGTTTGTTTTTAATAAAGGTATATGATGTAGCACCTCAAACTTCTACTTTGCCTCTTCTGTCTGCAACAACCTCAGCACACACGCACACCAGCAGGCAATGTGAGTTTCTCTTTTTTTTACTTGAATTGTAGTTTGAGGGATTATAAAACAAGACTTTGCCATTCCCACGGCTGATCCCCACTTTGCCGTGGGGATCACCCACGAACCTATGTGAAAACAAGGAATAATGAGCATGAGGAATCACACATGGAGAAAAACACAGGCCCTTAAAACCAAATGTTGGTACCTAATACCATCCTCTTGTGTATCTTTCAGTACATTGTAACTGGCTTAAGTTCAATATAAGCTAATTCTGCTCCATATATACACCTAGAATTTGCCACAGTTGAGTGAGTTTGTGCCATGCGTTGTTCTGTGTGGCATATAATTATTTAACTTTTCATATATTTAATTTTGTTCCTATGCAAAGCCTCTTCGGCTAATCTGACAGCTTTCCTAATTAAGTTCGGGGTCTGCGGGCCAGAAGGTGAGGCAGACAGGATATTGGTTCTCTGAAAAACATCAGGAAATATCAGTATGGAGCTGCCAGTGCTGCTGCCCACAATATTCACCCCAATGTGGGCAGCCTATCCTGGACAGAGCTGCAGGTGGAAATCTGCTGAATCCATGGTTTGTCCAGGAATTCAGTTGGTTAAAGCGGACATGCTGGAAGTTGTCCTGCATTCTGGACACCTGGGATCTGCTGGGCTGGAAGCTACCTTCCAGGCTTCACTGAGCACCAAGCCTTCCTGAAGAGGTTTGAGTTTCCATGCAGTAGAACACTAGACCTTTAACTCTGCAGAGCTTGTCCTTCAATGCTTTTCACATTTACTTCAGATTTTGAAAGAGCAGGGAAATGTACTGCGCACCAATTACCACCTGGTACTGAGGATACACTAGAGCCATTTTTCATGGACAATGCAAACGATAGGGAAAAATACAATCACGCTAGATTTAATGTAAATACTTTAATTACATTTCAATGCTTAAAACATAGAAACATTTGAATTAAATTATATCATAATGCTTCTGCTAAGTTGTATGCACACTTCCAATAATTATGAAAGGAGGTGCTATTACACTAAAAGAATACTCCAGTACAAGCCCAGCATATACCCGTAATATTCTTTTAGTCTGATTATCTGTACTTCATTAATCTAAGGGCAGTCATCACAGGTCAAATCCTACCATTACAGGAAGAATGGTTAAAGGGAATTTCTCTGTAGGTGTGTTTGTTATACAAGATATATCTCAACATTACCTTGGAATAAGGTGCATGGTTTTGCACCGGAGCTGGCAGAAGCACTGCCCATGCAGCACACGGAGTTGGGTGTAGAGCATGAAATATGCTGTTGGTTGGAGGAAAAAGCTCAGCCTATAGTTACCTTTCACAGAGAATTTAAAGCAAAAACAAACAAACAAACAGTTCCAACCCTAAGAGTTCTAGGGGAAACGTTGCAGTTTAGGAAAGCCATGCACTGCTGCACTCTACTTGTGCCGCTGCCCTGCCGCAGAGTGCAGGGGTGCGATAGGTAGCAAAGGCCCAGCTGCTAAAGGGAGAAATCTGACACCTCTGTGGCCAGCTGCCTTCAGTGTCCACTTGGAGGAGATAAAGAGATGGTGTGTGAGTGGTGGGGGTGATGTCTTTGCTTCTCAGCTGGTCACACAGGGATAACCTCTGGGAAGATCCATGGATAGTGTCCTCCAAATTCCAAGCACCTAAGCCAGATTGCACTGACTGTTTGCACACGCACGCCTACCTTCCATATTCTCCCTGGAGTGCAAATACCAGCAGCCTGCGGTGTCTCCTGGCAGTGGACGGGCCACTTTCAACAGGGGGTTACAACTCTAGCCCTACTGCACTCCCAGAACCTTCCAGGTTTAGGAGAGATGGATTTTGAAAAATTAAACGAGCTTAGTCCTGCAAAACTGCCATGAGGAAAGCTGTGCCAGTGAAGAAGGTAGGGCCTGTTTGCTGCAGGGGTCGGGGACTTATGACCAGGAAATCGTTTGCAGCAACTGCGAAAAGGGGAAAAGTCATCGTGGGGAGGAAAACAAAGATTTGGGGGCATGAAAAATAGCTGGCACGTCCTATCTTGCAGCAAAGCACACGATGCCTGAATTGCCATTCAGTGAGAAATCTCCTTGCATGAAGCCCACCTTTAGATCTGCATTAAAATTTTGGCCGGCCCTAATTCCCTTTGAACTGGTGCTGTGGATGGAACATGATCTGATTGACAAATGTACGTGCTGCAGAAAAATCAGGAGGTGATTAGTGCATGGCTGGGGCATTGATTCTTGAATGCAGGTTCTGCATGCACTGCACCACTAACGCAGCAGCGAGACAGTTTGATTCATGCATTCACCTCCAGGAATCTAAGGACACTGCCCATCTAGGAGTGAGAGACTACCAGCAGGTTACCAAAAATGACCTTCTCCTTCCCCAGGTCTTCACAGTCAAACAGTATGGACAGAAACACATACCCTTTTCAATTGCCTCTGTAATTTCCTAACTGAGGAATGGGGCAGGGAGGATGGGGCACCTGCCTGATGCCATGGCTGTACTGGCAGACACGGTGGGTAGAGGGGATGCAGGAAACCCTCCAGCTGTCCTTTATGCCATGCTCTGTGCTTGCATTGCAAGTGCACAGCCTGGACCCTGCTCCTGGCCCCCGGCCACCATGCTAGCCAGCAGTACTTAGGGCTGGTGGCCACTGGAAGGCTCTGCCAAGGACAGCTCCCACACAGCACTGCAGCTTGCCAAGGTGCCCAGAG